CGAAAACTAAATCATTACATACCGATATCCCTTTACCGCTCTTCCTTAAACCAATAATCTTTATTTCCATCGTATTTAATTTCATTCCCATTTAACTTTCCTAATTCCATTAGCCTTAGTGTTACTCTGCGACAATAGATAACGGTAGGTTGACATTGGTCTCTGTGGGTTCGACAAGTCTTTTATATTACTTCGATATTTCCGTGCACTTGCGGACGTATCACTGACTGAATTCCCACTCATCTTCTTCGTTATCCTTTCGTTCCCTATAACAAACCATCATGGCCAGAATTTATTTCCTCCTAACTCATTCATTTCTCCACCAAATCAAAAGATGTAAAAAACAAAATCACAGTATTTTTTACAAGGATTAATAATATGACATTATCTCATCTTAAAAAAAAACATATAACACACACGAAGCTTAACAACAGTGCAACATAACAATGCTATCACATGTCAAAATATCACATATGTAACTCAAAAAATATAAGCCATGTTTCAAACATCTTGCACATAGTAATTACTACATTTTTGCTTCACAAATGAATCAATAATGCTGCATGTAAAATGAGTTTGAAGATTCAAGAACCTTACTTCTTGGAGTCAGTCCAAGGCTTCTTCAAATGTTCTTACAGAAAGGTTCAAACTTGTGCCTTCTTGCAAGATGAAGATTGGAAATGATGGATATGGATGGGCTTGATACAGAACTTGTTCAATGGTTGGAACAAGTTCTATTGAGTGTTTAGAAAAGTTTTGTGGTGTTTATTTGTGAGTTGCACGAGTGGAAAGAGTGTTTTGTGAGGTTTTCTGAGATTTTTGACGATCTTTTGAAATAAGGAGTGACATCCTATTTATAGAAGAAATGGGAAGTTTGAAAGGTTTTCAAAATTCATCTTTTTGCAAACCGTCCACTTGCACTTTCAAAAAGCTCTTGATGATGATATTTGTTTGGTTCAAGGGATCAAGTATAAAGCATTTGAGCTTTGAGCATGCTTTTGAATACTAGCTTGTACTTGTGAGGACTGAGGGAGTGGCTCAATGCATAATTTATGGAAGACCCACGCTTTACCAAAGTGGCAATGAACACTTTATGCCATAAGTGGAATAATCTCTTGGTTTAAGCCTTAAAACTTTGTGTAATCCTTTGTATTTTCGTGTGACACTCTAACTAAGAAGGATCTTACAAGTAGACACTCGAAAACATCAAGATTTTCAGCATAAACTTGGCCTTGCATCATGTCATACTAAGTTGAAACCTTGGAATTCAAGTTTATGGACCTCAACTTCAAGTCTTCGAAACTCTTAGTCGATTTTATGGATTTGGGAGTTTTTGTACTTTTTAGAAATCCCCAGTATGTTCTACAACTTTCATGTTTTGGGTTTTTCTTGATTCCCAAAGGATCTTGATGGAAACTGGCTTCAAAGGTTGTTGCATTTGATGACCAAAATCTGCCTTGAAATTTTCTAAGTGTTTTGAAAATTTTCCAAACTTTAAAGCTTCATATATTAAAATCTAAGCCTCTTTTTCCCATGGGTCAGTTTTATACTTTTGTAGTATATAATGAGAGCTACAAATTGGAATTTCGAACTCAAAAAATGGACGTGTGAGTTAAAAGTTATGATCTTTCAAAGTTGGCACCAAAACTAGGATTTTTTCCACACTTAGAAAAAATTCACTTCCTTAACTTTGCCCCTTTTGCAAGAAACCTCCCAAATCTTGATTTTTCATGCTCAAATCCATTGATCAAGAATATCTTGATAAAATTTGGCTTGAATGCTTCAATTTGGACCAAAAAACCCTAAATGTCAAAGGGTTGACTTTGTCAGATAAAACTTGTATATCATATGAATTCAATTGTGTGATCTTCAGTGAACTTGCATCTTTGTACTTTTCAAACATCATGGATAGACTCCAAGTATGTATATGAACATTTTGAATCATGTCCCAAGGCTTGGAATCATGCTTGGATCAAAATCAGGGCACAATTGACTTTTTCTTTATGAAAGCTCTAATTTAGGGTTAGCTGAAGTTAGGTTTCAATGATTTTGCAATGAGATTAATTAGAACTCGATTCTTGATGAATAGAGGCCTATTGAGTGTATGGAAACTTAATTTGATGATGATCAATCCAAAACATTGATTGATCAAGAAAATAATCCTCTTGATTCCAAAGGTGCAAAACCCTAATTCATATGGAACACACACAAGAGCAAACTTGAAACAAAGTTAGGGTTAGCAAAATATGCTTGATGCTCCTAGAATGGTGATGGAATCTAGGGGTAAAAATTTGGGGTATGACAATAGGCTACGGGTTAGGAATCCTTATGCATCTAACAACATATTAATAGAGTATCTCAAATAATACATATTAAGTAAAAGAAACAACTGAATAAAATTATAAGTCAAAAGGTTCATACAAAATCAAACAGTCATATAAAGATTGAATAAAGTTCATCGCACACAACTTAACCTATGAGAATTTAGCCACATATAGTGAAAATTACAATACCAATTGATAAAAGATGAATATCATATGAATTTCCTTGAAGGATTGGCCTCCAATGGCTTCCAATGCTCTCAAAATAACATTATGATGTTGTAAAAGCATGCTTCCAGTGCCAAATTTTGTAACTCTTGTACAAGTGCAGAAAATCTCTTTTTAAAGCTGTCAAAAAAAGTCCTAAAAAAGTTATTATCGCACGCACTACAGAAGCATTATGCGCGTGATGGTCCTTTATAGCTTTATCGCACACGCGATAGAACGCGATGCTGCGCGTGATTATTCCAGCAGCTGCATGTTTTTTCACTCTTTTTCAACAGAATTTTCACTAAGTCTCATTCTTCCATACTTGACTCTTTTCACTCATTCTTAGGTCATTTTTCATCATTTTGGCTCATCTTTTTCTCGTTTTTTTCAGATTCTTTGACTGACTTTATTTAATAAAGGAATATCATCAATTAGCAAGAACAAAAACTTGCGTAGAACATTTATGATAGTTCCTGAATCATCTGGCAAGACTTCAAGGAGTTTTTAGAAATATTTTCTTGATAAAAACAAGTTCAAAAAGTTTTTGTGTGTGTGTGTGTGTGTGATTATCTGTATAAGTTTACGAGAAGGTCATTTTGCTTTTACAATGTTATTCACTCACATGCGTCAGAGTGAGATTTCACACACTTCAAGTCTTGTTAGACCGCTTCATTCTTGTAGACACTTACTTGAGCTTTACTTTGAGATGAAGCTTGAGTTATATTTTGTTTAGATGTCATCATCAAAGAAACAGACTTATCAAACCCTATTGATTTGGTTAAATCTTTAACCTCTTTATGCTTGACTTTAGTTATTATCATCAAGGACTAGTCGTCATTATCTAAAGCATGTTCGTCTTCAATAGCCCTTCCTTGATTAATAACCTTCTAAACAAGGTTCCACAATAGACACTTGTATAAACTACTTGAGTGTGCTCTCTAATTTTGTTTCTTTGTCTTGTTGTGGTGGTGCGTGTGTGTAATGTTGATAAGGTTGTTTATTTGATAGACTAGCGTCAAATATCCATCCTTGATTGAAGTTGTTTTTTTCTTGGGAAGTTGTTGTTTTCACATTGTCCAGAACTTTGTTAATTGCCTATGTAGTTGTCTTACTCATCAGCTGCAAAGTTGTCCAGGACTTTGTTAATTGCTCATACTTTCTTCTTTGTTAAGAAATACCAGTTCACCTGCAACTTGCCTTGTCACCTTAGCTTGTAAACCGCATTGCTTAGTCTTGCTTAGCACACAAACCATTCATTCACCTTGAAGTAACTTAGTCCTAAAGTCATGTACCTCCTTTGCTCGCTAATTGCACATGTGTTCTTGGATTAGTAAAATTAGTTGTTTAACTTTGAAGTTCCTTGGACATGCAGTCTTCTTTTTCCACATTTTCTCACAAAGTGTGCCTATGTTCTTAGCTTAGCGAGCCTTACTTGTTGGGAAAGTGCTTTGACATGATTTTTGTGTTGCTTTGGTGATTTCTTTGTCCTTTTTATTTATTTTTAGTCAATATGCAGTTAAAATATCCTAACAGACATTTTATCACTTTTCATTAACTAATCAGGGAGTTTTTTCATTGATTATTTGTAAAATAAGTTAATAAACACCTACGTAATTTTCGTAATTTTGACACTTATCAATTCGATGGTTTATTTATAAATTGAGATATTATTTTCTAACATATAATGGCAGAAGATATAGGATATAAAAGAGAAAAAATTAACAGTTTAAAGGCTAAGTTGAATTAAAAATCTTGGAGATATCGGGGAGAATTCCTGATTCTAGAAGATTTCTCATAATTTGTTGGTTGTATTTGATCTTTTGTTTGTTCAACAATTGGTATGTCAGATGGATCATTATGGTGTTTATGTTGCTTATGGTTGTCCTTGCCAAGAAGAATAAAGAGAATGGTGTCCTCAACTATGGTGACATTATCTAAAATGTGTTTAATGGAAATTTGTTTGCTGTATGAGAAAACATACTCAGAAGATATCAGTTTTATATATAAAGGTGTTTCTAATTATTAAATTAAAGAGCAGAAAGCCTTTTGGTTCTATCGGTCATAAAGGCAGAGGAAAAACATAAGCATTTAAAGACCTTGAGATCATGAAATGTATGTGGATATTTATATAATATTGTATTTTAAAAGGAGTTCTATTCATGAGAAATGCATATGATATAAGGAATAGGACCAAACATGTTTTTGAAAGTTTATAATGAAAAACTAAAGTCTTAAATATTTTAATAGGTGCATATATTTCCTTTCAACGATGGAATTTTGCTCAGTTGTCTCGAAACAAGAAGTTTAACGAAGGATTCATAATGGTTCATCGAATGAAGTCATGTGGAATTCAACACCATCGTCACTTCTAATCTATACATATTTGATTCATAATGTGTATGTAAAGGCAACAATTTACACATGGAAAGATACCATATTCATATTTTCCAATTTCAACCCTATCATCTATTAAGCACTATACCTAATCTGGTCCAATGCCCTTCCATCGGCCAATCGTGACTTCTGCTGAACAAGAAAATAATCACGATACTTTATACTTTTAAACAATGGCCTCTCTTTCTCCAATAGTTTAGGAGCAGGTCCAATTTCGTTATCTAGTGCAGGTCCATTCACCACCACAACACTGACCCTAGTGTCCTTGTTGTTCAAGATTGCGCGATGTAATGCACTTGAATACTTCCCATTACTCACAGCCTAATCATGGTTAGAGGATAAACATTAATCAAACACTGAAAGTAGAGGATTGAAAATGAGAATAACAAGAGCTTAGTGACAGACCTCAAGTTGATCTCCAATATTTACAACTAGAGAATTGGAAATGGGATTGACATTGACCCATTTGCCCTCGTGTTTAACTTGAAGTCCTCCTATTCCATTTTGAATGAGGAAGGTTAAGAAACCAACATCAGAATGTGAAGGCAAGCCAAGAGCAAGGTGTGGTTGTGGACATGGAGGGTATAAGTTCACAGCAAAGATTTGTAAGCCAGAATCAAAACCAGAGGAATCAATTATGGAATTGGATTCTAATCCTAAACTCTCTGAGATTCCTTGAATAAGTTTCCTTGCAACATCATTAATTTTTCGGCTGTACTCAAACCCAGCCTCCCTGCATTAATACTCACTAATTAATATAGGGCAATGATATAAAATTAAAAACAATTGGATTAGCAACAAACACCATTGAAATTGAAATGTGCAATTCTATTTTAGTTTTGGAATAGACCCTTGTGTTCCTAGTATTTCAAAGAATTTGCTTTGAGTTTATAAACGAGCGCCTTTAGATTTTTCATATATATATATATATATATATATATATATATATATATATATATATATATATATATATATATATATATATATATATATATATATATATATATATATATATATATATATATATATATATATATATATATATATATATATATATATATATATATATATATATATATATATATATATATATATATATATATATATATATATATATATATATATATATATATATATATATATATATATATATATATATATATATATATATATATATATATATATATATATATATATATATATATATATATATATATATATATATATATATATATATATATATATATATATATATATATATATATATATATATATATATATATATATATATATATATATATATATATATATATATATATATATATATATATATATATATATATATATATATATATATATATATATATATATATATATATTATGATTTTACTTTTACTATATATGACTTATATATATATATATATATATATATATATATATATATATATATATATATATATATATATATATATATATATATATATATATATATATATATATATATATATATATATATATATATATATTATGATTTTACTTTTACTATATATGACTTTTCGTCGCAGTGGGACAGCCCTAACCACCATATAGATGTTGATTCACTTTAAGAGTGAAAATTTAGATGCATTTAAAATGTTAAAGATGAGGTAGAGAAACACTAAGGAATGCAAATTAAAATAATAAAATATGATAAATAGAGGTGAATAGTATTATGGTAGATACATAAAGAATACATAAGTGGCCGGTTCATTCGCAAAGTTTTTTTAAGAGTGTCAGATTATTTTACAAAAAAAAGTTTGAACGTGACTGTTTACTAAGTGTTGCTTCCATTGTGACGGGTGATTCATTTGATTAAAGCAAAAGTGTCTACAAAATGATTTTGAACGTGAACATCTAAAGAATGTCATATACACTTGAGTTGTAAGAAATCTTATGTATGCAAAGGTTTTCACTATACCTCACATTTCACGCTTGTACTTAAAACCAGTGTAAAATTATTAAAATGAATGGTAAATAACACATATTTCACACTCTAACTTACTTAAAAATCAATGTGCACCCCTTTATTTTATTCATATCATATGCACCCTTTATTTTTGTCGAGACTCTGATATCACACTATCCAGAAATCTCACATATTATGAAAGCAATTTTAACTGTATAATCAAGCGAGACAACAAACAGTCAGCCATAGGTATAAAAAAGTCTCAAACACATATTAACAATTAAAACCGGCATCTCATAATAGCGAAGATCATAATATGGATCGATTGTTAGATGTTTTCTAATACACAAGATCTTCATTTTGAGACAAGTGTAGAGTATACTTGCATCTTTGGGAAAAAATTATAATATGAACATAATAACTAATGCTTTTAGTAAGAGTTAAAAATTTTAGAACATGTTTATGTTTTAGGACACAAGATTTATTGATATAAGACATTCCCTTTTATAGTTAAAGAGATCCATAAAAAGACAAGAAAGACATTATTTACAAGCATGTCATCATAAACATTATTGAAATGCTTTTTTCATATTGCGACGTGTCATCTAACATTTTTCTTTAGGTTTCTTCCATGCGTCCTTCTGATGACTCGATTTCAATTGGAGAATCTTGTTTCTGCTGAAGAGTCTAACCCGAGTTTTCTCCAATTTCTCGTATCCTAACCCTTTCATAACTTATGCAAGTCGTATTAGCTTTGGTTTTTCCTTGACCACGAAGATTGATGAAGTTGACCTAATCCATTAATTTTTTGAACTTTTAAACTCAGAGGATAATTATCAATAATTTTATATAGCTTGGCATAATTCCTACAAACAAAACATTTAGTTATGGGATCTATCTGATATGTCCTGTGTAGGAAGAAAACATTCTTGATTTTACCAACGACTTCTAGGGCTAATTTTTTTCCTTGACTTCGTCTAGGATTGGTTTTAATTAATTTCTCCACCATTCCAATGGAGAATACCATTCAAGAGTAGTCCATATTAACGACTTGTGGTTCTTAGGATCCATTATGGGGTTATACATGGCTTTAGTTTGGACAAGGACATGCATAACATATAGATTGGTTGCACACCAAATATACCATAAATGGATTTTTGTAAATTTAAAATTTAGGTTTATCATGAATGGTAGAAGAAAAAGTGTATCTAAAAAGTAAGGAGTATAATTTGGGAGTTTCTTGGTTATAATCTTAATCATGAAATAAAAAAAAATATTTCTGGAATATTCTTTGAGTTGGGATGGTGAGAAGGAAACATCTATCCCAGGAGGAAGATTCTTAGTCGTAGATGCATGAACTGGTAGAGGCTAGACCATAAGAATCTGGGGAAATGTGTTGGATAGTAATGATCTGGATGGGTCTCATAGGTCTGGAGAGAAAATTAGGGATCACATTTTGAGTTCCTTTGATAAGTTTTACAGTGAAATCATATATGGAAAACCAATCTTTAAGTAGAAGAGTTTGAGTATCTGGAGGCATTTTATTTTTAAATTCAAAGATCTTAGGAAAAAGGAATTATCCATCAGAACTTCAAACTGATAATCTTTTTATGTGGAAATCGAATTTTTTGATACCTAGCTTAATTGCAAGAGCTTACTTATAAATGGTGTGATAATGTTTTTTAGCTTCTTTGAACTGACCATTAGCATGACCACAATAATACTTTATCTCACCAACTTTTTCTATTAAGACCGTTTCCTAATAATGATCACTGGCATCGCTTTGAAAGATTCTTTTACCATTTCCCAGGATTTTCAAGATAGGCAGAGTTTGTGCGATCTTTTTCAAAGCTTTTATTACTTCAGTTTTCTTAGCTCCCCATGGAGTGTAGTTAAAATAGTCTCTATTACAACATTTTCATAATGGAGATAACTTGAATCTAAAAGAGCTATCATGCAGAACATAGACTGATTTTTCCTTTCGTGGAGAGAGAGGACGAGTCTGATAGCTCCAAAATGTAAAGTTATGTATCCTTCAGATTTCCAGTGATTTATGAGATTTTGAGTGATCTCTAAATTTACATACTATTCTTAGTTGGTAGTTCTCAAACTGCATTAGTCTAGTTAAGACGACTGGACTTACTCTTTCATATGAGGACGGTTTGTAGAGATTAAGTTTCTGATAGATTTGGTAATTGTTTTTTGAAGATATTATAATGACTTAAAGTGGGAGGTATTATTTCGGCGAGCATCTTCTACAACATAAGAATACTCAATAAAATTTTTTATTTTGTGAGAATCAGTATTTTTACATAATTTAGAAAGTGATAGAAAGAGATGATAGTAATAAATTGAGTGTTTTACGATGGTTCTATGATTAAGTAGTTGTCTCTCCTACCACTTTCATTATTATATTCATATTATATGTACCTTTATTTTTGTCCAGGTTTTAATACAGCCTCTTATGAAACTAGCTTGAATTGCCAGTGAAGAGAGACACAAACATATTTCAATTAAATGGAAAAAAACCACACATTTTATATTCATTATACCTAAAAATACATAGCTCTTTGATTGAGGTCACACATATTCCATTATATATATATATATATATATATATATATATATATATATATATATATATATATATATATATATATATATATATATATATATATATATATATATATATATATATATATATATATATATATATATATATATATATATATATATATATATATATATATATATATATATATATATATATATATATATATATATATATATATATATATATATATATATATATATATATATATATATATATATATATATATATATATATATATATATATATATATATGGAACTAGTTCGGCTCACACCAAACCAAAAATGTTGTATATGTTAAAAAATAAACTTGTGTAAATTTTTCTCCCGCACTAGTGTCTGGTTGAATTTTCTCATTTTATTTTGTGCACATTTATTTATTTTAAGAAAACAAATCTTATTTTCTGAAAGAAAAAAAATATATACATTTTTCTTTTTTAGAAAACTACACCATTGAGTTTTGAGTAAGTAAAAGTTTGGAAAGGCCAAACAGATTTGTTTTTGTAACGAAAAATATGAATTCAACCTTATAATGACTGGATGGCCGTGCTTAATCATCAAAGTTATTGGTTTTTGCTAAACTAATTTAAGTGTGTTTGTTTAAGATAAATAAGATGTATATAACTAATGGATTAAGAAATTTTACATCTCTAACTAAATTACCTGTAACCTGGTGGTTTGTTGGGGAAATTGAATTGGGGAGATGTTAAAGCTTTGAGAAAATCTCTCCAATAATGAACATTCTCTGCTGGAGGATGAAAGCTAGTCCCATGCCTGATAGGTGAGAAAGGATCTCCATTGTCGTGAAACTCCATCTTTTCTTCCACTGGCAAATCATGAAACTCTTGAGATTTTTTCATCAACTCTTCCATTAGACTCTCTGGAACTCCATGGTTTATGAGCTGAACATACATAGTTAACATTGAAATATCATTTGGGAAAAATAGTATGAAAAAAAAAAGATAATAGAAAGGAAAAGTTACCATGAAGAAGCCCCATTCAGCGCACGCTTTGGCGAGTTCATGAACAGTTTTGGTATGGATTTGAGAATCGTCTGAAGTGAGGAGAGAAAAATCAATGACTGGAATGGAAGCTGCAAGTTCATCTGCAACTGCAACATGATCAATATCTGTAAAGGAGTGGTAATTGGAAGGGATAGGAGAGGCTCCGTTTGATTCTGCAAAGGCTTTAATGCTTGAAATATTTGATGAAGCTGAAGCCATGGATATTGTATCTTTGAGTGGTTCACGTAAAATAGAGAAAAATAATGAAGAAAATATATTAGAAGAAAAACAAATAGTAAAGGAAAAATAAAATTATTATTTTTATTAGATAGTTATCACTTAATTTGACAGATGCTACAGAGACAAAAATGTCTTAGTCTACGTGTTCTATTCAAACATTTCTAGCCCAGTACGCACCATTAAAATCAAAATAGCATAAAATGGAATTTGCTGGAAATCGAACCCCGTGCCTCTTACATGCGCTCTGCCATATGAGCTACAACCCCTTGATATTTGGTTAGCCGTTTGATTTATACATATTATCTAAATACTAGATTGAGGTAATATAGTCGTATGTTTTAGTCTATACGTAGCAAGTGAGGATGTCAATATTATTGAATTAATAAAATGTATTTCTTTTCTTACTACAATTATCACTAAATTTTGAAATTAAATATCAGCTCATCATCTTGATTAATGAATTATATGTCATTCATCTTCTGTGTTTTTCATGGTTCAAAGCCAGCACAAAATTTTTGGATAGCCGATAAAACAAATTAAAATATAAAAGTATGCTGATCATATTGTATACAAAATAAATAAGTTATCTATAAATATAAAGATGATATTTGAAAAATTAATTTACGGGATTTGAAAATATCTCAAATTAATACTTGTATTAATATTATTTTCAAAATAAATTCATGATTTCAGCTAAAAATGCAATTATCATATTATTTCTTAACTTAATTTTGATAGTTTTATTACTAAAAGAAATGTTGCATTTGTGACAGTAAAAACATTAAGAGACATAAAAAATGTGGAGCAAATCAAAATTTAATTTTTGATAGGTCTAGAAGCAACAGGCATGCACATAACTTTTAAATGATTAAATTATTTAAATTTGATACTTGACAAGCATAAAAAAATTGAATTTGAGATTATAAATTATTCTTCTCTTGATCATTTAAATTCATAGGATACTATTTATTTTTAACTTTAGATTAATCTTTAAAAGACAACGCACAAAGAATTAACAAAAAAAAAATTTCTTCACATTAAACATATCATTCATTTAAATTACAAGAGTGTGCCAATCCCTCCAGCAATATCCACGCTTACCATTAGTTTTGTTGCGGCCATGCGCCAGCAGATGGACGAAAGTAACTAGAATATGGTACATGTGTTAACCCAACAGATGATTGCCATCATGAGGCCTTTGATACAGGACTCGACGTAAAGTTGCCAATAGTTAGCCACCCAGATGGCCCAAAGACCCCCCATAGTGTTGGTCTGCCGAAACCAGGACCCTGACAACATAGTTCGACAAGTTAGAAACGAGAACCTTAGAGGCAAAGCTAATCTAGAGGGCATGGTCGAATGCATTATGGTTCGAAATGGTGCGAACCCTAGCCTTCGTCGGCCCGCCTACACGTCTCCATTTCCAGATTTTGTGTTGCAAACTGAGTTACCAAGGGGTTGGAAAGCCCTAAATTCACTAAGTTTGCGGGTGAGACGGAGGAATCCACTGTCGAGCATGTGGCCCCGCTATCAGACAAAGGTCAGGGACATAGCTAATAACGAGGATTTGAAAATGAAGTATTTCCTAGGTTCTCTCACGAAAAATGCCTTCATATGGTTCACCTCGCTGCCCCCACAATCGGTCCACACATGGACACAATTAAAGAGATTGTTCCAAGAACAATTTTATATGGGGCAATCAAAGATCAGTTTGAAGGAATTAGCTAGCGTAAAGAGGAAAAGCACAGAATCTGTAGATCAGTACCTGAATAGGTTCCGACTGTTGAAAGCACGTTGCTTTTCCCAAGTCTCCGAACATGAATTAGTCGAAATAGCGGCGGGAGGATTAGATTACTTCATCAGGAAAAAACTAGATACGCAATATCTAAGAGACATGGTACAACTAGACGATCGCGTCTGACAGGTCGAACGTATAAGAAGTGAGAAATCACAAAGTAGTCGATACCGTAAGAAAGAGAAGGTGGCATTTGTAGCTACCGGTGGATATTCGTCATACGAAGAGGAATTCGTCGAAGATAATACTGTTAACATAGCTGAACTAACGGCTGAACCTCCATATAGGTGTAGCGTCTTGAAGCCGTCGAACGAAAAAAATTCGGTCGAAGCAGAAAAGACGGATAAGTATACTGCGAGAACATACTCGTTTGACATATCTAAGTGTGACGATATATTTTACGTATTAGTCAAAGACGATCAGATTGTCGTCCCTAGTGGGACAAAAGATCCCCCTCTAGAGCAAAAGTAAAAGATAGGATTTTGTAAATTTCATAACTTCCTTGGTCATAAAACTACTCAATGTGTTCTTTTCAGAGATTTGGTGCAGAAGGCGTTGAAGGAAGGGAGATTGCAGTTTGAAGAGCGACCAAAAATGCAAGTGGATACGAACCCTTTGAAAATGGAAGAAGCTCTCTACTCTAAAGTAGCAGACTTCATGATGATTGAGGCTACTGAAGGCCTCAAAGAACAAATAGAAGATTGCATGGTGATCGAAGCTACTAAAGGCTTCGACAACAAGGAGAAGATGGACTTCGAGGGAGTCTACCATGAGGCCGGAGAAAGTCTGGCAGAGTTTCAGAAAAAATGCAAAATCAACGGCTCCACAACCGCCCTTTGCCTAGGTGTCATGCTGTTTTCGACCAAAAAGCAACGGATGGTATCAAGGCAGACAAAATGTCGGCTCCCAGGTTCATATTCGACACAGACGGCACTCTTCGACAGAATCAAGAGTACCGGAAGCTGTTCCAACCTACAAAGCTTAGGACCTTTGTACCCCCGTCGAATATCCCTCAAAACCAATGGTTGGCTCCTGCGAACCAGAAAGGGAGCAAAAGGCCGAATTGGAAGGTGCTGGATGTGGAAAAAAAGACTGGGGCCTCTGTCAAGGATACAGAGTCGAAAGGTTATGTTGTATCTTTCAATTGCAAGGGAAAGAACCCGATGACGAGAACCCAATGGCGACGATATCAGCGAAATAAGAAGGCGGCCAGGGAAGCATCAACCTTGCAGCTACGCCCAACCAAGAAGCCTGATTCAAAAGATCCACCATCAAGAGCTAGATGGGTAGAGAAAGGAAAGGTAATCGCAAGTCAAACTTCAGCAATGACCGTGGGAATCTCGAGAAAACAGACAGTAGCATTGACACAGAAGTCAACATTCATAGCCAACTCAACAGATCAGAGAGAGGCAACATGCACCCCTCAAACAAAGGAGGATGAGCCAGAATATACACCCCAGTCGGATGATGAAGAGTATACACCCCAGTCGAATGAGGAGGAATACACTGAAGGTGAGATAATACTTAGAAAGGGGGGGGGGGGTTTGAATAAGTATGGAAAATTAAGACGTGAAAAATAATCACACAATTATTTTTATCCTGGTTCGTTTAACAACTACTTCAGTCCACCCTTCCTAGAGTGATTTGCCTTTCTCAACAAGGACTTAATCCACTATTAAATCAAACTGATTACAATAGTATCACCTAAGAACAACAGTTCTTAGTCTTCTCAAGAGCTACTGATTCTAACTGAATCCTCTTAAGGAATATCCTTTACAATCAATGTAAATTAAATACAAGAGTTTTAATGCTTCTAAAAAGCTTTTATCACAACAGTGATTTTTCTCTTAAGTTTAAGTACAATAAATTCTTAGAAGAATGAGAATAAATGAGAGCTTTAGAATGTGATGATTTCTTTTCAGCAAAGTGTGTAACTGAAGAATGTGGTGAAGATCTCCTTTTATAGGCAGCTGAACCATGCAAGATGAACGTTGAAAAGAGATTCCCAAAAGGTCTGAGCCTTTTTGTCTTCACATCAACTGACCTTTCCTAGAAGTAGATGGCACAGAAAAATCCTTTTTGTCTGTGTAAGTGTGTCTAGCACAAATAAGGAAAGAGACGTTGAATAGCACCAACGGATATATTCTTGAAAATTACTTCTTCAGTTTTCAGCAAGTTCTTCAGAGTCTGAATGGATCAGAGTCTTCTAATGAGATTCAGAACTATGTTGTATCAGAGTCTTCTGCAGCATGTGTGCTTCTAGCGTGTTGATCATCAGAGCATTTTTGACACAGAACTTCAGTACTTGGCAGCGTTGGTACTTTCAGAAACTTCTGTAGATAAATGCTTTGAGAAACTCTTCAATCAATATTCTTCTATGCTTCAGATGCTTCAGCTTCAGATGCTTCTGATTATCTTCAGATGCTTCTGACTCAGAGTGTTCTGGAGCTTCTTGCTTCAGATCCTTCTGGAGACTACGCTCAGGATCTTCTGTAAGGAGCAAGTAGATTCTTCTGTAAGGTGCATCTGGCGCTTCAGAGTCAGAATAACTTCTTGTATTCAAAACAAATTTGCTTCTAGAGAGTTAATTATTATTTCAATCTGCAGTAAAACTCTCAAACAAATTTTAAAGTATATAATTCTTAAATATAAATTTCCTAACAGTTATCATCAAAACAAAGAGTAATTATTAAGACCCAATCTGTGTTCTAACAATCTCCCCCTTTTTGATGATGACAAAAAGTATCAGAAATTTTATTTAGCTGAACATAAAGAATTATAACTCCCCCTGAGATGATGAATCTCCCTCTGAGTTAAATATGAAAAAGGAATAGAAACTTCCCTTTTTATCTTGAGTAATCTTCAGAGTCAGATCTTGTTTGTCTTTGTAATAATTTAGGGTCAGAATATCTTGCAGATATGAGATTCAGAGTTTGATAAAAAAGCAAATGATCTGAGAAACTCAGAGATTCTTTTATAGAGTGTTCTTATCAAATGTTCTGAAATAGTCAATTTAGATATTAGAAAGAATAAATATGTCTGAAGATTCATTCTAGTGAAATTATATTAAATAGTTCAGATCTTTACTTTCTCCCCCTTTTTTGTCATAAGCAAAAAGTAAAAACTTTTAATAAAGACAAATAAAAGGAACAATAAATAGATAATTCAATGGAGAAAAAACTGA